CCCCAAAACCCCAAAACCCCAAAACCCCAAAACCCCAAGACAAATGCAATAATTGGATTTAGATAAATTCTATTATGAGGCCAATGGGAACCCAAGAGAAGAGAAGGAGGAAGTATGGTCAGGATACCAATCCTCTTTGCCAATCTCAGAAATTTGGAGGTCTGGAGCAGGAAACTATGTATAAGACAAGGAATTTGGTGAACATTCACTCCTCATCTCCTGATATTTTGAGTAGCGCAAAGGTCCAAAACTCTAACAGGCTGTTTTTCCGAAGCTCTATGCTTCAGCCTAAGACAGGAGGAAATGCAAGCGGGAGGGTAAGTTAAAAAATTAGCTGCTTGATAGTTTTTCTCTGTGGCTAAATTTTAAAGCAAAATATTAACATTGCCAACAAAGAGTATTGATTTCACTCCAAGATTTTTGTATTTTTAACTCATTTTATGAATCCAATACCAGTAATATTCAACTTTTGAATAGGTCTATGATACAAAGAGAAAAAGCAGTATAGCTAAGTTGAACGAAACCTGGCATCTGAGTGATCGCAAGTAAGGGAAATATTTTCATAAATAGGTTCTTGAGGACAAATGTAATCTTATCAACAGAATCGCTTCCACAGTCAAACTTAAATTTAGATATGAAATTCTTCCGGAAATCCAACCCAAGAGTGGAGTTTCACCTCCCTGCAGACGGAGTTATTACTCAGGATGATGAAATTCCTGATGAAAGGACCTCTAATTCTGGCTTGAGGAATCCATTGACAGATGATACCTATGAGTCAGCAATTCTTGACCTCAGGAATAACGATAAGATGAATACGCAGGAGATTCATAGCAAATACACTAAACGTTTCAATGGACATAAGTCTAGGTCTAATAAGTATTCTCTTTGCTTAATCTTATAGGTATCATCACAAGATCAGCCCAGAGAAGCGGATGAAGAAGGAAGCAAAGCCGATCCATTCCATATTAAAAACAAGTCCAAATTATAGAAAAAGGGATGATTTTAGCTTCCAAAGAGCTTCTCTTAAGGATGACAACCCATTTTCTACTCTGAAAGCTAATAAGAATGGGGCTGAGACTTCAAGATATTATGATAAAGGAAAGATTAATCCTGAGATACACCTCGAGAACACTGATTACCGGAACAAAAGCTCCTCGATTACAGGAGTCATGAAATCGTCTTATGAATTATTGAAAGAAACTGATGACAAGAATCTGCAGAATTTTACGATAAGGAACCAATTCGGTTTTAACCAGGAAAACAAACTGGATAGAGGAAGAAACTCAATGGATCCATTTAACAAGACCCAGGTTATTCACTCCCAGGTTATTGACTCTAAGAGGTTGTCGGCAGAGCCTTCCTATCTAATTAAAGGGAAAGCTCATCCACTCGTAAAATTTTCTCAGATAGATCTTAACCAAGAGCAGGCATGAGAAGAAGTGAAGGATAAATCCTCAGCTCGATGTAGTCAAGCAGAGCTTAGAGCGGAGCACCAGGAGGTTAAGACATATGATATCTGTGAAAACGAGATCACCTCTGATCCTGATGAAAGGCCTATTCATCCTGCTAATAATATATCAGTGAAAATCCAGATTTGAACTCAGAAGCATCAGGTGAAAAGGAAGGAGAGAAGGGAGAAATTTCCTAAGAGCATTAAGAAGGAGAAAATAAACTTCAAGGAGGCAAATAAATCAATGAGCAAGATCTCACCCAGAATTCAGAAAGAAATTCACCCGGTTATTAAGGAACAGGATTCCAAAACTTTCTTAAAGAAGGGATCTGGCCATAAATATGATCCAAAGGAGGCTATAAAGGAGTCAAATTCGAAGTTTTTGAAGAAGGCCAAGTCTCAAGCATGTCTCTCTAGCAGCTCCAAAACTATTGCCATGTGTAGGTACTAAGTTAACAACTTCTAGCTTTTAAAGAAATTCCTGATCTTGCTCAGAAGAACAAGGAAGATAGCGGGAATGCCTATGAAAATAAGAGTGATAAGAGGAACACCATCTTCCAGAAAAGTCTTAGTTTGTATAAGGCTGGTAAGAACTATCAGAAGAAGAGCCCCAAGAAGGAGAATGGGAAGCTCAAGAAATCCAAGTATTCTGAAGGTACCAACTCTGCTACTGATCTTCTTCAAAAGACAAAGGTAGTCAATAGTTTAAATTTTTAGAATATTCCGAATCCTTATAACCCAGAACCGGTTGAACTTAAAAAGAATTGCTCTGCATCCACACTCAAGTTGTCAAAGAGGCTCAGGGAGATAAGGCTGAACCAGCATTTGGAGGAATCTGTGGTCGCTAAAACTGTTGCTTCCGATATAAAAAGTAATGACGAGTCTTCTCATGCTTCAGTCAAGAAGAAAAAACCAAAGTTTCCATATGCTCGATATAGGGAAATCAAAAGATCACTTGGTATGTTAGCACACTAACTTAAATCTCTGATGCTTTATAGTGGGGTGAAAGGATGATTATGGAGCAAAGAACACATCCAAGATTGAAAACTCGCTCAACTCTAGTCCGTGAGGCCGGAAAGGGGTTTATAGGTCATATCTAGCCCAAAATTCATCAGAGAAAAAGTATTATGGTTATGCTAAGAAAATGTAATTCCTTAATAAGAAGAACACCTGGAGCTTTAGAGGCGATGTTTTTGCCAAATTAGCTGCAATTTCTAAGACTTTTATGACTAAAGCAAGCCTTAATGTGCCATTTCGAGGTCTATAAGCTTTGAAAAGCGCTATTTTGGCAATCCACATCAGTGGTTTTATTACAATTTATTTTATTGAGAGCTCTGGAGCGGGGTTTTGGGGTTTTGGGGTTTTGGGGTTTTGGGGTTTTGGGG